TATTTGCGGACGATAGCCTTTTATTTATTACAAAACTAGAAGATAGAATTCCGAAAATTATGGAGAAAATAAAAACCTTTGGCAGAATATCGGGATATTCCATAAATTGGACAAAATCAGAGATTTTACTCATAGGGCCAAGGGCTACATTGTATAGAAACCATCAGTTTCGGTTGTGCAAAGACTTTATTAAATACTTGGGTATAATGATTTCATTAGATATAGATCAAATTGTAAAATTAAATTTGAATAAAAATATAAATGAAATTTCTTTTGATATTGAAAGGTGGGGACCTCTAAACCTCTCCTTTTGGGAAAAGGTTAAAAGTCCTCAAAACTGCCCTGTCCGCTTATCCATCTCTTCGTATTCCATCAACTTTCAACTTAATTTGCCACTCCCTCTTTACTGGAATTTGGTTTCCTTTCCAGTTTTGTGCTAACAATATTCTCACTGCTGTGGTGGCGCACATAAAGTAACTTCTTAAGAACTTGGGGATCTCATCTCCAAGGATTCCTAAGAGAAAAGCTTATGGCTTTTTAGGAAATGTTAATTTAAACATTTTTTTTAACTCATTGTAAATTGTATCCCAGAATTCTCTCTTTTTTTTTTACACTCCATGCATGATACATTGTCCCGACTGCTATGTTACATTTCCAACACAAATATGAATTATTTTTATACATCATTGCCATTTTATTAGGTGTTACATACCAGCATTAAAGATTTCCATATAATTTTTTTTGAGGGTATAGCATGCTGTGAATTTGAGATCTTCCTTCCACAGCTTCCCCAATGCTGAAAGTATACAGGATGAAAGCATGGCTTTCTCAAAAACAAGGAAAGCCAGGGAAATCTCGCTCCCCCTTTTTTTGGATGGAGTTACAAACTTTGTTGATCAGGGGACTGCTGTGAAAATGCTGCATCTCGATTTCAGTAAGGCTTTTGACAGAGACCTCTGTGATATTTATGTGAGGAAGCTGGTAAAGTGTGACTGAATGAGGTAACTGTTAGGTGGATTGGACTGACCGAACCCAAAGAGGACTCCTCCATGGTTCCTCCTCATCCTGGGGGAAAGTGACCAGAGGGGTGCTGCAGGGTTCTGTCCTGGGCCCGTTGTTGTTCAATGTCTTTATAAATGTCTTGGATGAAGGAACTGAGGGGATGCTCATCACATGTGCAGACGACACCAAAAGGGGAGCGGAGGCCAATGTGGCAGAAGGCAGAATCCGATCAAGGGCAGGAATAGTACCACTTTATTCTGCCATGGTCACGCCCCACCTAGAATACTGTGTTCAGTTCTGGGCTCCGCAATTTAAGTATATTAAATTTTGTTTGCCAGGGGAAATCAAGAAGGGGGGGGGACATAATCCATATTCCTTTTATAATACTTGGCCAATATTTATTAAATACATGAATTGTTAAGACTGTTGCAAGAATCCACCCAGCACTAATGGCAAAATGTGCCATGATCTTTTAGAATAATCAAATGAAACTTTTAACACATGGCAGGATGAAAGTCTTCAATTTCACCAGGACAAGTTATTTGTTGTTTACTGTTGTGGTCATTGCTTTCTTTAAAATTATCTTTTGTACTGTGAAAATAAAAGCAATACCGTGGTATCTCCAGTTGCGCACGGGTTCTGTTCCGGAGCACTGGTCGGATCCCGAGGTCTCCTCAACCGCAGGTGCCTGTTTTGCACATGTGCTTATGCGTAGAGTGCTTATGCGCATATGCGCAGGACGAAACCCAGAAAGACACTCCTGGGTTTGCCGCGTGCAGTGGCGTAGCGTGGGGGTTGCAGGGGGCCCGGGCGCAACATCTGGGGGTTAGGGTTAGGGGGCGCAAATCCACGGGTTAGGGGGCGCAAATTACTTGCCTTGCCCCGGGTGCTGACAACCCACGCTACGCCACTGGCCGTGTGCGTATCCCAAAGGATAGGTAACAAGGGGAGCATAAGTAGAGGTACCACTGTATTATTATTTTTTTATAAGAAAGGTGGGGAAATCATGCCATTAATCTGCTTGCATGTGTTGAGTGTTATTTGGAGACTGTAACTCCCAGTAATTTACCATTACAGTGGTACCCTAAGTCAGTGTTTCCCAACCACTGTTCCGCGGCACACTAGTGTGCCGCGAGATGTTGCCTGGTGTGCCGCGGGAAAAATTAAAAAATTCGAAAGGTTTTTTTTTTAAAAGTCAAATTTTCGATTGGGGCGCCGTCACTAGATGACCCCTGGGGTTCCCTCCCTCCATCCCGCTCTGTGCCTCCCTCCTCCTCCTCCTCCTCCTCCGGGGAGGCCCTTCCTGGCTCTCGGCCAAGGCTTGGCGGCTGCCACTCACTCACTCGCTCGCCCACCCGTCCCTCCATCCCTGCACCCGGCCTCTCCCCCTCCGTCCCCGGCGCGGGGGCTGCCGGGATCCATAGTCCCCTCGCCCTTGGGCTCCGCACCCGCGCGGGGTGCGCGAACTACGTTTCCCAGCGTGGCCTGGCGGGCCGGGCGTTTTGTTTGAAGCGCTCTTCTCCCGGCCATGGAATGAGCGCAGCGGCGGCGGCCGGGCGGGCAGGGGCTCTTCCGCGCAGACCCCGCGCAGCCTGCCTGCGCCCCCGCGGAGATCGGGCGGCAGGATGGAGCCCGGGGATCCCCGCGGAGGCGGAGTGGCGGAGGCGGAGGCTGCCCCCCAGGTAGGGCTGCGTCGGGGGGTTTTATTTTTGCAATGCTGCATCCACGCCGGAGGGGACGCATCGGACCACGGGGAGACCCCTTGGCGGGCGTGCAAGGCAATGCATGCGTGCAGGCGTTGCATGGAGTGCAGTGCAATGCAATGGCAACGCGGCGCCCTGCATGCATGCATGCAACTTCCACCGGCGCTCCGGACTTGGCAGGTGAGGGGGGTCCCCAGTGGGCGGCAGAGAGAGCCGGGAGGGCGAAGGGGAGCCGGGGGGGAGCAGCGCTGCTCCCCGAGCCGAGCCCGGGGGGAAACTTCGGCGTCGTTGCGCCGGGTGTTGGAAGCGGAGGCTGGCGGGGGCCCCTCACCTGCAAAACCTGGTCGCCTCTCATATATTTCGTGCATTGCATTCATCGCCCGCTTTCTCCTCCAAGGAGCTCCCGGGGGCGCGCGCGGTTCTCCCCGTGTTATCCTCGCAACAACAGCCCTGCGAGGTGGGTCAGGCGAGTGGCCCAAGGGAGCACCCAGGGATTGTCCTGGCCAGGTGGGGTGATTTGAACCCTGCTCTCTGCCCGGTCTTCATCCTCATTTAGCCCCCACATGTGCATGACTGTGCATGACTGAGGTTTTCCCCCCTCGTCTTGGCTATGGTGTGAGTCTGTGCTGTTAATTAATGGGGTTCTGCCTTCGGAGAAGATGAGCCAGCCCTCAAGGAGGTGATTATGTAATTTGCTAGCAATTCATGTCCCTCCCGGCGTGACGCTGCGCGCTGACGTCACGGGGCTGTAATGGTGGTGTGCCTCGAGATTTTTTTCATGAAACAAGTGTGCCTTTGCCCAAAAAAGGTTGGGAAACACTGCCCTAAGTTACAAACGCCTCAGGTTACAAACTCTGCTAACCTGGAAGAGTTACTTTGAGTTGAGCACTTTGTCCAGGATGAGAATGGAAATCGTGTGCTGGCGGTGCAGCGGCAGCAAGAGGCCCGATTAGCGAAAGCACGTCTCTGGTTAAGAACAGTCTCAGGTTAAGAACAGACCTCCGGAATGAATTAAGTTTGTAACCAGAGGTACCACTATGTGTTTCTGTGTGTTCAGCACACATGATTGCAGGTGAGACTGAATAAAAGACTTCCTAGGAAATTCCCTTTGACTGGTGCTGTATTGTTTCAAATGTGACTTCACTTACAGATAAGAACAAATAATATTTATTGCTGACAAATCATACCATCGTCAGCTCATGAATTTCCACTCCAACAAACGCTGCGCTTAGCATGAGCAGCTGCTTTCTTCCCATTTCTTAGGTGGAAAGAACTGATAATGAAAAGGAAGAAGGGAGATAGACCCTTTCCCTCACCCTTTGGGGATCTGGGGGGCTTCATTTCACCCCTTAGTCCTGCTCCTGAAAGCTTGGCAAATGTGGAGTATTTGCTCACACTCTGCCATGACTTAAAAATGAATCTCCCCCCCCCCCAAAAAAAAAATGGTATCGCAGTCCTAAAAAGTCTCAAGAAAGCAATTCCTGTAGTAGCTGGCATCTTAGTGAGCTCAATGCCACTCTGCCAACTGTCTCACTCCCAGCTAACTAATCTGGAAAGCTGTGCTGTCATCTCTGCAAGGACCTCAGTGTCCCTTGAATTAGCAATTCAGCATTTCTGTAAAGGGAAATGGCATACTTTTGTATATTAGCATAACAAGCATGCATAAGAATTATTAGACTAAAAAAGCATGCATAGGAAAGTATTACTCATTTATGATGAGAATGGGATTTATTTATTTTGAACTTCGCATGGTTCCTCCTTGGCAATGGTTTCAGCAGGGCTGGAACTCAGGACCCGCTGCCTTGAGGGACATCTAAGAGCAGTTGGGCAGGGAAAGGTCTCCCTTGGGAGGTGGTGGACTCTCCTTCCTTGGAGGCTTCTAAGCAGAGATCGGACGGCCATCTGCCATGGATGCTTTAGCTGAGATTCCTGCCTTGCTGGGGGTTGGACTAGATGACCCTGGGATCCCCTCCTATCTCTCCACTCCTGAATTCTAGGAGGAGCTTCCTTGCCTCCTGCAAAGCCCTTTTCCCTGCAAGCTCTTCCTCTGGTTTCACCCCTAAAAGGATATCTGGGCATTGGCGTAGCCAGGGGGGCAGCAGCCCCCCAAAATCCATAAAAAATAATAAGAATCTGAGGTTCTGCCAAGCGAGAGAGGGCTGAGCTGGAGGGACTCGGCTTGGTAAGGGTTAAAGGGAACAGAGCTGCCTTCCTAGAGAGGACAGGAAGCAAGGGGGGCCAGGTCCTCCAGAGCCAAGGCCCCTCCCTCCCCAGTCCTTTCCTGCTTTGATGTCTCTCCTGCAAGGGCTGCCTCGCTGCCCCCTCCTGGGATCTGGTGAGTCTCCTCTCTCTCTGGGATCTGGTGGGGGTCCCAGGGCTGCAGCAGGGGAGGGGGCCGGGGGGGGCTGATCTGCTCCTTGGGGGACCCCAAGTCAGGGAGGAGAGGGTCCTGCCAGGGAGGGGCCAGGTCTGCCACGCTCTCCTTCCTGCAGATCAGAGGATCCCAAACTCATTTGGCCGTCCCCCCCTTTCAGAAAAGATCTCCCTTCTTCAGACAAAGGAGTCCCTGGGACTTTAACTCTGTGTGACGTCGCTCAGCCTCATTGCACAACCGAGGAAACATCTGCAAATGGTTTTCCAAAGCTGGATGGGGAGGTGGACTAGCCCCCCCCCCAAAAAAAAGGTGGGAGAGGGAGGCCAGGAATAAAGAGAGGGATCCCAGCCCAGAGCCTGGCTGCTGCATTGGGGACCAGTTTCCCAGTGTCTCCCAGGGCAGCTCCCCACGGAGGCCACTGCAGCAATCCCCTCGCACCCAGGACAGGGCATCCCAGGACCACATCCTCTCTCTCCCAAAGGGATTGTTGCTGGCAAAGCAGCCGGAAATGGGCGCTGCTACTCCCTGAGCCTCCAGGGACCTTGGCATCAGTGGCTGTGTGTGTGTTAAGCTATCTAACAGAATACTAATATTAAATTACAGACCTAAATTTCAAGGGAGGTGTCTTTGGCCCCGCCCACTTGGCCCTCAGGGGTTGGCCAGATACGTACCTGGCCCTCAGAGCAAAGAAAAAGGGACCCCACCCCAGGAGTCTGTCTTGAGAGCGGCAGAGAGTCCAAGCGCAAGAAAAGGAGACAGAAGCAGGGGAGTGAGGGTGGGGGGAGCAACTCCTGAGGACCCCCAGGTGAGGACCCCCACTAGAGCCAAGCATCCATTTTCCACAAGATACAAATGACTTCCTTGTCAGTCAGTTCTGACTTCATGCATTGACTGGAAGGCAACAGAAACCAGGCTTCTTCATCTCCCAGAAATCCCTTCAGTTACCTCCACATTTTCCATTGCAATCTTTCTTCTAGGAGAGCTAGAGGCTGCTTCCTCTTCCTCCTCCTCCTCCTCCTCTTCCTCCTCCTCTTTCTTCTCCTTTTTAGAAAGGCCCTTTCCACCTGGTCTAGGGGGTGAGGCCCAGACTCACCCAGCCCTACTGTGTTAAATATGTATTCTGTAGTTGACCTCCTTTGTAATGTTTTATTTTGATATCTTTAAGAGAGTATTTGTTTTCTGTTATGTTGCTTTGACTATAGTCTATATATTTGACTTTCTTTACCTTGCTTTATTTCTCTTTTATTGCTTTTGTGGGATGTGAAACTGCAGTCAAGTAGAAGATTCCTACAGGGGACACATTAGGGGATGTTTTCTACCACTCAGGAGAAGACTTCCTGTTTCCTCCTGAGCTGGGACAGACTTCCACTCCATGTGACTTGAAGAGGGTGCATGCAGTCTGTTGTACTAGCATGGAGGAGCACATGGCCTCCATCTTCTGATCAGTGTGTCTTCTCCATTTTGTATGTTGCTGTGTGTTTGGAGAAGTGACTCCTTAGTGGCAGTCATTTGGGACTAAGTTCTTTATGGAATAGTTCTAGTTGTTATGTAACAACCTGCCTGCCTGTGAACGTGAACAAATCTGTGATTAAACTACTTTTATATTAACGTGAATCAGATTATTGTGCTTATTCATTTAAAAGGGATTGGAAGGGATTTTACCAGGAAGGAATTTTTAATAGTAAGAGTCAGATGAGTCAGCAACAAGCTGATCGCTGCGTAATCTAAAAAAGGGGGATGTATGGAACTAGAATATGGAACTTGCTAGTGTATGTTAGGAAGGATATCATTCAATAATATATCTTCTTCTAACTCCCCAATTATTCCCACAGATTTAATATGCTGTAAACCGCTTTGAGATTTCTCTTTAAAATATAAAGTGCTATACAAATTTAAATAAATAAAATAGCTCATGGTTTGGGCTGTGGTGCAGTCCAGCCCTGGTTCCCTCCAAGACTCATCCATGCTTGCTCAGGGAACCTTTTTCTTCTCCTGATATTAGACAACTTTTGTAACTGAGCAATGTATTTGCTTTGTAGGATTTGCTAGAGCTTCTTATTCAGACTGACAGAACTTGGCAGAAGACCAAAGGGTTCCTTCCCATCTCTCAGAGGCTTCCTGAGAGCACAGATGGGTGAGCGAGACTCAGCCGGCTCTGAAGCAGGAAGAGGCCATGCCATCCAAACTGGGAGCAGTGGGGAGTTCTGGGAAAACTCTGTGCAGAAGATCCTGGGTGAGGAGGACACCCTCCGCTCAGAGGTGCAGAGCCAGCAGGTGAGGCAGTTCTGCTGCCAGGAGGCCAAAGGACCCCGAGAGGTTTGCAGCCGACTCTACCACCTTTGCCATCAGTGGCTGAAGCCAGAAAGGCACACGAAAGCTGAGATGCTGGACCTGGTGATCTTGGAGCAGTTCCTGGCTGTCCTTCCACCGGAGATGGAGAGCTGGGTGAGGGACTGTGGAGCGGAGACCAGTTCCCAGGCGGTGGCCCTAGCCGAAGGTTTCCTCCTGAGTCAGGCAGAGGAGAGGAAGCAGGTGAGAGAGACTTTCCTCTGGATACTCCCAAGGGGCTCCAAACAGGACAGAAAACATCCCATCATGCTCTACTGATGGCTCATTTTTTTTCCTGGGAAGGCATCCATGGAATGAGATCTGTCACCCTTGAAGCTGTTGGCCCTGACATTCATTTTTTAATCCTTCTCCCCATTCTCTCTTTTGAATCCTTTTTCTTTTTCAGGGAAAGGATCTCTTTGCAGAAATGGGCCAGATTTCTTCTGAGGCAGAGAGGCCTCCGTTGGACACCAGAGAGAGGCAGCTGGGTAAGGAGTTTTTTCTCTCTTTATTCTCATTCTATTGGTTTTCCAACACATCTGTGGGTTCTTTTCATCTTTTGTTGGGGGAGTTAGTGGGACCAAGAGCCCAGAGGAGGGGAGATATATTTCTGCACAACTAACATCTGAAATGCACCCAAACATCCAAATGCACTCAGCAGGCAAGACTTTCTCAAAGGCCCCTCGGTAGTTTAGATGCACTGATTCACCTCATAGAATCATAGAATCATAGAGTTGGAAGAGACCACAAGGGCCATCGAGTCCAACCCCCTGCCAAGCAGGAAACACCATCAGAGCACTCCTGACATATGGTTGTCAAGCCTCTGCTTAAAGACCTCCAAAGAAGGAGACTCCACCACACTCCTTGGCAGCAAATTCCACTGTCGAACAGCTCTTACTGTCAGGAAGTTCTTCCTAATGTTTAGGTGGAATCTTCTTTCTTGTAGTTTGGATCCATTGCTCCGTGTCCGCTTCTCTGGAGCAGCAGAAAACAACCTTTCCCCCTCCTCTATGTGACATCCTTTTATATATTTGAACATGGCTATCATATCACCCCTTAACCTCCTCTTCTCCAGGCTAAACATGCCCAGCTCCCTTAGCCGTTCCTCATAAGGCATCGTTTCCAGGCCTTTGACCATTTTGGTTGCCCTCCTCTGGACACGTTCCAGTTTGTCAGTGTCCTTCTTGAACTGTGGTGCCCAGAACTGGACACAGTACTCCAGGTGAGGTCTGACCAGAGCAGAATACAGGGCACTATTACTTCCCTTGATCTAGATGCTATACTCCTATTGATGCAGCCCAGAATTGCATTGGCTTTTTTAGCTGCCGCGTCACACTGTTGGCTCATGTCAAGTTTGTGGTCAACCAAGACTCCTAGATCCTTTTCACATGTACTGCTCTCAAGCCAGGTGTCACCCATCTTGTATTTGTGCCTCTCCTTTTTTTTGCCCAAGTGCAATACTTTACATTTCTCCCTGTTAAAATTCATCTTCTTTGTTTTGGCCCAGTTCTCTAATCTGTCAAGGTCGTTTTGAAGTGTGATCCTGTCCTCTGGGGTGTTAGCCACCCCTCCCAGTTTGGTGTCATCTGCAAATTTGATCAGGATGCCCTTGAGTCCATCTTCCAAGTCGTTGATAAAGATGTTGAATAAGACCGGGCCCAAGACAGAACCCTGTGTCACCCCACTAGTCACTCTTCTCCAGGATGAAGTGGAACCAGTGATGAGCACCCTTTGGGTTTGGTCAGTCAGCCAGTTACAAATCCACTGAGTGGTAGCATAGTCAAGACCGCATTTTAGCAGCTTCTTTACAAGAATATCATGGGGCACCTTGTCAAATGCCGTGCTGAAATCAAGGTAGGCTACATCCACTGCGTTCCCTTCATCTACCAGGGTTGTAATTCTGTCAAAAAACGAGATCAGGTTAGTCTGACATGACTTATTTCTGAGAAATCCATGCTGACTATTGGTGATCACAGCATTCCTTTCTAGGTGAGAGAAGCAGACACTCTGGGCCTCCCCCATACCTTTTTTCTCTGGCAGGTGACAGAACGATGATGGCAAGACCTCTTCATCCATCTCTGAATGGGGACAGAATGGAAGCAGCAGCTGTGGAACCAGATCAGGTCAGGGGAAGCTGCCTTGTGGGGACAGAGGCCAAGGGGTGGAACAATGTCCTAGCTCAAGGAGTGGTGGTGAACAACAGTGTTGTCTCAGAGGAGGACATTTCCCTTTTTATTTCAGGGTCCAGTGTGCTTTGAAAATGTTGCTGTTTATTTCACGGACGAGGAGTGGGAGTTGCTGGATCCTGAGAAGAGAGCTCTGCATAAGGACGTCATGGAGGAGAATCGTGGGATCGTGGCCTCTCTCGGTAAGGCTCCCTGTGGGATCATAATATCTGTTTTTAAATTCAAAATTCCATATGTGACGAACCTCATATATTTTCACAGAACTCAACCGTGCCCCCTACAACACCAGATATCACAATCCCCCCCAAAAAACCATGAACAGTAAATTACTGTTTTTTCTGTGAATGTTCTTCCTCCAGTTGCAGCTTATTAAAGAAGGATCAGCCTGGTTTGAACTCCCCAGACCCTTTTAAGTATAAATGTCAGAGTTGTTAGGGAAGTTGACGTAGCTTCTCTCAGGTTTTCCGTTTTTGTTTTTCCTCCCGTCAGTCTTTGGTTGTCCAAAGAGAAGACTGACATTGGAAATGAAGGGATGCCATGATGGAGCCAAAGAAAATCCATTCAAGAGAAGAGCCAGGCTTATCGAATCACAGGTTCCCCTAAGGATGTCGGTTGATCCCCGTTAATTAATGCACCCAACCCTTCAGAAAACCATCCATCTAACCCACTTGTGTTATTCCTCTATTACCAGAGTTAACAAGTATTCTTCCTTAATTTCTCCCTGAGGCGCTAATCCATTACTCTTCATTGCAGATAGTGATGGACTGGAAATCAAGGACAAGGGTGACCATGACAAAATCCCCACAATGGAGAAGCTGAATAAATATCTTGAAAGTGGGAAAAGTTCCTATTCCACTTCCCATCAAAGAAATCCCATTGGGAAGAAACCATATCCGTGTGTAGAATGTGGAAAGAGCTTCATGAAGAGCTCCTCTCTCACTTTCCATCAGAGAATTCATACAGGGGAGAAATCCTATCAGTGTGTGGATTGTGGAAAGAGCTTCAGTCATAGCCACCATCTCAATTCCCATCAGAGAATTCATACAGGGGAGAAACCCTATCAGTGTGTGGAATGTGGAAAGAGCTTCAGTCACAGCCACCATCTCAGTTTCCATCAGAGAATTCATACAGGGGTGAAACCCTATCAGTGTGGGGAATGTGGAAAGAGCTTCAGTCAGAGTGCCAATCTCAATTCCCATCAGAGAATTCATACAGGGGAGAAACCCTATCAGTGTGTGGAATGTGGAAAGAGCTTCAATCAGAGTTCCCATCTCACTTTCCATCAGAGAATTCATACAGGGGTGAAACCCTATCAGTGTGTGGAATGTGGAAAGACCTTCAGTCAGAGTTCCAATCTCACTTCCCATCAGAGAATTCATACAGGGGAGAAACCCTATCAGTGTGTGGAATGTGGAAAGAGCTTCAATCAGAGTTCCCATCTCACTTTCCATCAGAGAATTCATACAGGGGACAAACACTATCAGTGCGTAGAATGTGGAAAGAGCTTCAGGAAGAGCTCCAGTCTCACTTCCCATCAAAGAATTCATACAGGGGAGAACCCCTATCAGTGTGTGGAATGTGGAAAGAGCTTCACTCATAGCTCCTCTCTCACTTCCCATCAGAGAATTCATACAGGGGAGAAACCCTATCAGTGTGTGGAATGTGGAAAGAGCTTCAGGCAGAGCCACAGTTTCACTTCCCATCAAGTAATTCATACAGGGAAGAAACCCTACCAATGCTTTGAATGTGGAAAGAGCTTCAGTACGAGCTCCAGTCTCATTTCCCATCAAGTAATTCATACAGGAGGAAACCCTATCAATGCTTTGAATGTGGAAAGAGCTTCAGTACGAGCTCCAGTCTCATTTCCCATCAAAGAATTCATACAGGGGAGAAACCTTATCAGTGTGTGGAATGTGGAAAGAGCTTCAATCAGAGCTCCATTCTCACTTCCCATCAAAGAATTCATACAGGGGAGAAACCCTATCAGTGTGTGGAATGTGGAAAGAGCTTCAGGAAGAGGTTCTCTCTCACTTCCCATCAAAGAATTCATACAGGGGAGAACCCTATCAGTGTGTGGAATGTGGAAAGAGCTTCAGTCAGAGCTCAAATCTCCGTTCCCATCAAAGAATTCATACAAAGAGTAGAAAACCCTTCATTATACAGCTTTCAGCGCTAGAGAAAAACACACCACTTTAACCAGTCCTTTTGGCTGATTGACATCTAATGCCCTTTTAAAATGTGGTGGGGAGGTGGGGGTTACAGGTTTTGGGCTGTGTGATTTGTGTTTTCATTGTGTGATTTTATGTTGTAACCGTCCTGCGACCTGTGAGTGTAGGGAATGGGAGCCAACTCTCAGAGTCTGAGGGCTCTTTGCCCCCCAATAAGATATGTGAGGGGGCCACCCCCCAGTTCATAGGAACTGCCATTCAAATGGCATGCATGCCCCACATCATGTATTGATTATGTGAGGAGGGGCTTACTAAACCCCTTCTATATTTAATTCAAGTTGGCACCCCAGGTATAGGGTGCTATAGAAATTAAATAAATGCATAAATAAAGCAAGACCATCTTGATTGGCTTCATTTGCATATGTTTCGGCTTGTCAATGTCCTTATTATTATCATCATTTAAAAAAATTATGTGCCCTTTATCTGATTTCGCGGTGTTTCAGAACATAAACATACAAGTTGAAAACACGTATTTGGGATTGGACAAGTTAGAGAAGGCGATACCACCACCGACTGAACAAGAACAATTACTTGGTGCAGTTGGAGGAAAAGCAAAATAAATACACCATGTCCCTGCAACTATTAAGTTGGAATATTCACGGATTTAACTCCCCGGAGAAAAGGAAAAAAGTCATTTATTGAGAAAGGAACAATTGGACTTGATTTGCTTGCAGGAAACACATGTGATAAGGCTTCATAGGAAAGTATTAATTAATAAAAGATTAGGCCAAAAATTTATTTCATCGGACAAGGTTAAAAAGAGAGTAGTAATTTACGCGAAAGAGAGCCTATCACCGAAATTTATTTTTAAAGATGACCAAGGAAGATATGTGGCAATTGAAATCCAAACACAAGGAGAAAAATTCTTGATAGTAGGAGTACATGCACCAAATGAGGGGAAATCTGAATATTTTAAGAAGTTGCATGAGACATTGTTAGACTACATGGATTACAAAATTATTATGATGGGAGATATGAATGGAGTGGTATCTACAAATATGGACAAATCGCAGAGACAAGTAGTTACCAAAGATGGCAGACTACCAAAAACCTTTTTTGAGATGACTGACAATATGGACTTGATTGACATATGGAGAACAAAGAATCCCTTGGGCAGAGAGGGGACCTTCTCTGAAGCCAAAATGACATGGACAAGAATTGACCAAATTTGGATAACTAGAGGACTGGCACCTAAGACTCGAAAAGTGGAAATTCGCCCTAAAACTTGCTCCGACCATAATGCTGTGAAAATGGAGCTGAAATTAACACCTGCCGATTCCTTCAGATGGAGGATGAATGACACCTTGTTTAGAGATCAAGAAGTTACCAAGAAGGCCCCAAAAACCTTGAGAGACTATTTTGAGATAAATATGAACACTACCATCGAAAAAAGAGTAATCTGGGACGCAAGTAAAGCAGTTATGAGGGGGTTTCTCATTCAACAGAATGCAATAAAGAAGAGAACTCAAAATGAGAAAAAAGATAAGATTTTGGAAAAAATAAAAGAGGGTGAGAAGAAATTGAGAGCAAAACCAAAGTCACAAGAGATTCTGAGAGAAATAAAGTTATACCAAGTTCAATATATGAAGATGATGAATCAGGAAATAGAATGGAGAATTAAACAGATGAGACAAAGGACATTTGAATCGGCCAATAAATGTGGAAAACTGTTAGCTTGGCAAATGAAAAAAATACAAAAACTTAATACCATTACCAACTTGGAAGTGGAAGGAAAGAACATCCAGAATCCAGTGGAAATTAGAAAATGCTTCCAGAGGTACTTTAAACAGTTATATACACAAGGGCCACAGAAAGAGTTTGATTTAGACCAATTCTTAAAAACAAATGGACTTCAAAAAATCTCTCAAGAAAATAAGTTAATGTTGAACTACAAAATAACAGAACAGGAGGTGGAAGGTGCCATCCAGAACATGCAGTTGGGCAAATCTCCAGGGCCTGATGGCTTAACCTCAAAATATTATAGGTCCTTGAAGGATTGGATAATTCAACCACTAAAGGAGGTTTGCAAAGAAATTTTGGAGGGGGAAAAAGCGCCAGAGTCGTGGAAGGAGGCTTATATTACATTAATACCGAAAAATTTGTCTGAAAAGACACAACTCAAGAACTACCGCCCCATATCCCTGCTTAATGTGGATTATAATTTTTTTGCAGATATTTTGGCTAAAAGGTTAAAAAAAGTATTAGTGGAGGAGATACATAAAGACCAAGCTGGCTTTCTCCCGGGTAGACACTTGTCTGACAACACGAGGAATATAATCAATATTTTGGAAATGTTGCAAGTGAATATTAATACTAAAGCTGTTTTAATTTTTGTAGATGCGGAGAAAGCCTTTGATAATATTTCTTGGAGTTTCATGAAGAAAAATCTTCAGGGGATGGGGGTCGGTCAAGGGTTTGAAAATGGTATAAGTACAATTTACTCAGAACAAAAGGCTAAACTAATAGTTAACAATGTGGTGACAGAGGAATTTAAGATAGAGAAAGGGACACGACAAGGCTGCCCAATTTCCCCTTTGCTTTTTATTTCGGTCCTGGAGGTTTTGCTAAATATGATCAGAAGGGACCGTCTGATTAACGGTATATAGGTCGGAGCCAAACAGTACAAATTGAAAGCTTTTGCAGGTGATTTGGTATTGACGTTACAGGAGCCAGAATCTAGTACTAAAAGAGTATTAGAATTGATTCAAGAATTTGGTCATGTGGCAGGATTTAAGTTGAACAAGTTAAAAACTAAGGTGCTTGAGAAAAACTTAACACCGATTGAGAAAGAGAGGTTTCAGAAGGAGACAGGTTTAACATTGGTTAAGAAAGTAAAATACCTGGGGGTTGATATGACCGCTAAGAATTTAAACTTA